CCCCCCTCTCTCTCTCTCTCTCTCTCTCTTTCCCTCCTTCCCTCCTCCCTTAGCTCTCGCACTCTCCATCTCCCTGCGCGTGGGTGCAGCACGCGCGCATGTGCTCATGTATATATGCATACATATATGCATACTTGTAAAATATGTGTGTGAATGCGCATGTGTATGAAACGTATATACATATATACATACAAGGTCTATATAAGTACTTAGACCTTGTATAATATGCTTGTGCGTGCGTTTGCAGGAGTGTGCGTGCGTGCGTGCGTGCTCACATGCGAGGATTTGTATGTGTTTGTGCATTTATGTATCTGTTTATTTATTTATTCATTTATCTATTTGTTTATTCATTCATTCATGCTTTCATGCCTTTAAATGTACGCGCGAGCATGTGTGTGTGCCTTTTCTTTCTCCCGCCTACAAATCCTTGAGATGCCATATGTAAAGAGAAGCATGTTTGTTCTCTGCTGAGATATGTGACGGATGGTTAAACAAACTTCCGTTTCTCGGGAACTCTGTGGAATGATTTTTTAAACTCTGTGTTAAATTTCGACTTTCTTATCAAGCTGCGGCGTCGCCATCATCACATCATTCATCGCCATCGTTATCATCATTGTCCCCATCATCATCAATATAATAATATTGATAATAATATTCATTACCATCGGCGGCATCATTTGATTAACGCATCTTTGGTAAATTTTCTTTATTTCAGATTTAAAGATTTAGTCGGTGATATTTCCTGTTGTCGATTTAATATTTTGTGTGTTTGAGCACTATGCTTATTCATTTTTTGACAAATTACAAATGATAAGCGATTATTAAAAGAATTTACAAATGTATTATTTTTTTATCTAAAAATAATAGTTGGTTGTAGTTTTAACACCTTTTTGCCATTTGGAGTGTCATAACGCGTATTAGGACGTGGCGCGGGGCGTGGCTTGGTCAAATAGGGAGTGTCCCCTCCATACGCGTGGCAGAGGGTTTGATGACCTCCCGCCATCTCCCGCGCCCGAGGAACCGCTACGTGGGAGGAAGACGGAGTTCGCTGCCATAAGCTTCCACGTAACTGATCGTACGGTTTGAGGAAATTGCTAAGAGATCGTTCTGGCGTTCGGTGTCTCTCTTTTGGCGGCTTGAGAGGCGTCGTTCCTTGAAGTGTAATGTGCAGATGTCGGTGAACAAGTGTGTAACGATTGGTGGATTCGGTGGCGATGTGTGTGTTGTCATACGTCTGGCGTGACTCTTAACACGTGGCAGAGTTGAAGTCACTAGGTGAGATCCGAGTTAGCGGTTAGGAATTAAGACAGTAGATTTTTATTTTCGCTGGTGGTTTTGGAATAAGTATCATTCTGTTTAGGTGATCTAGCGATGTCATAAGTATGGTTGAATTTTACCGCCTAGACAACCAAAGGTCATTTTGAGTGCGTAAATTTGTCAGGGTCGTACAGCACATTGGTAACCTATCTCGTGCTTGGTACTAGGTGGGATCTTCGAAACTTTGTTTACTTGAAATGAATCTCAAAACCTTTAACGTGTATGTTCCTGAGATGTCATAAGGAAAGGTCGAGGTCTCCCACTAACACCTGCACCTTCGTCTATTTTCTGTAAAGACATCCAAAGTCTGGGTTGCCGTAAGATGAGCGTGAAACCCATATAACGGTGAATCCCGTTACTTGCTTCTCGGGGCCAGTGTCTCAGTGGTGCCGTGGTAGTCTGGAGTGGTTAGTGACGTTTCATTTCCAAGAGGACACAGGTGCACAGTGGAGCGATGCCGACTCAGAGGCGATAATTCAGGACGTAGTATTATAAAATAAACTAGTGATTAGTGTATGGAGAAAGACCATTTTGATTTTCATTTGGAAATCGGAGGACCTAAAGCGCTAGATATGGAGTACGAACATTGTCCGACGACCTGCGAGAGCGATGTCGAGGAGGACGTACTGGTGCTGGTCGAAGTGCCAACAGGACCCGATGGGCGCAAGAGACAGATCAGACACACCAGGAAGTCTCCTTACGGGTGGCAATACGCCTGGACGATGTCACTGCTCAGCCTCGTCCTCACCCTCGTCCTCATCAACGATATGATCACCTACGGGAGATTCGAGTCAAGGTGGCAGCGGGAGGAGGCCGCCCTCCAACTCCTTCAGGAGGCGCGAGCTCATCCGGGAGGGAGACAGGTAAGGTGTATACCCGAAGGCGTGACATTGATCAATAGTTAGTGGATGTGTGTGATCGAACTCTCATGAAGCAGTGACAAACTTTTTTACTCGGAATTTGTCTGCGGAAACTTTTAATGAGGTTCTCCGTCGATATAGTCTGTCCATCGCCACACAAAAGAACGGTACATGATTGTCTGGAAGCAAGTATTCTATTCCTTGTGAAGTTAGTCTTAGCATACAATCTTAGCTTCGCATTGTTAATTGAATACACTACGGTTGTGTTTGTTGGAATGAATCAAGTGTGAGTTTGTACGAGAGGAACACCTGACAGTTGTGATAGGTGTTTGTATTGTTCAGTATCTGAAGTATTGACTGTATCTCGCGCACCTCTGGTAACTATTTCACTTTGATGATTTTCTCTGTGAATACATAATGGAGAAACGATAATATGAATGGTTAGTATTATTGTGGTAATGGTAACAACGTTTTAGCAGCGTCCTTCCTAAATGAACATTTGTGTACAATTTTGCAGTTATTATTATTAATTTAACTTTAGGTACATGGTTACTACCCAAAATAGAAGCAAGGGAAGCACACTAATAGATAACCACGAATGTGTTTACAAACACTCTATTACTTCCTAAATATTGACAGCGTATTTTCAAGGTCATTCTCATTTGTCTTCCTGTTATGAGAATTTTGAACTCTTGCCAACTCTGGGGGCAACAAACGGCGTTTTTTATGGATACAGAGGCTTATTAAAGAGACTATGCCTTTAAAAAAAATCAAGAAAAAGAGAGATATGAGGAAAAATGCAACATTGTGATGGCGTTAACTAAACTTATTTTTAAAATATAATTCTAAGTCAGTTTTAAAGTCAAATGTTTAGATAATCCTTTTTAAATCATGAACTACCAGTTAAACGGCTTGAGGAGGTAAAAGTTAGGATAGAATTCAAATAGATCTAACATTCCTCTCCGGTGGCCTTGCTTCAGGAAAATCCTTTCATTTGTTCCTCATTTACTTCCTCCCTCCCTCCCTCCCCTCCCCTGTCTCTCTCTCTCTCTCTCTCTCTCTCTCTCT